GAGAGAGAGAGAGAGAGAGAGAGAGATCGAGACAAAAGAGTCCATATATAATTGAAGATAGTTACTATGAACCTTTTAATTTTCGCTGCTATCGATGATTCGCAGTACCATAGTCGCGATATCGATTTCGCTGATGATACTCGAACGCTGATAAGAATTGATAAAATATCTTTTTCTTGTGCGGAGCACTTGTTTAAAAATTTTACACGGAGATATTGAACGCGGTGAAGTGATTCACCTAACGCTACCGTTTTTATCGAACGTTTTTATGTTATTCTGTCGTAAAAATAAATATGCAAAAAGTATGTACAGCCACGTAAGCCTTTGAGACAAATACAATTCATAATTAAAAAGAATTCTTGGCTCTCTTATATAAACGAGAATATTTCCTGGTTATTCATTTTACGTGCGAAAGAACTGCCGATTCGCCTTTCGATCGCGCGGTGTGTTTTGCATTTCCTCGTTACGAATTGTGAATTTCTTCTCTCGCAGCAACTTTCCGCACCGGACGGACACCTTCCTTATGCAGCAAGACGTCGGAATATGCGAGAAAACGCTTTAGCCATATTGCTGGCATGGACACTTGCGGCTCAGCACGGACTGTGCGGCAAGTTGGAGAAGATCGCCCAACAACCGAGCAACATCCTGGTGGATTACTACGCCTATCGTCACATCTCGATCATCCACTTCAATGTGCCCGAACGCACCGTCGCGGTCGTCTTCACGTACGTACATCGAGAAAGAAAAATTTGCCGGATTTTCCTCGAGATTTTCCTATTTCTAACGCATTGTCAATACATCTATTTTCTTCCAATTTTTCCTTCTATCTTCTCTATAAGACGCACTACTCGTACTTCAGATTTATGGCGAAAGAAGAGAAGACTGGCGGGATAGGTAAATGCGCCCCGCTCAATGTTTCACTGCATTTAAAATCCGCCAGTCTGCCGTTCGTTTGTCCCGATGGATCGAAGATGGCCGCGAAGCTGATGGAGGCGAAGAGACGTCGGCGGCATTACAGTCTGGAGATGAAAAGCGACGGCAATTCGTATATGATCAAGATAGAGGCTCCGTCGGCGGGAGATTGGTACGTGATTGCCTTCCGATCCTGGACTGATCCTGACTCAGGAAAGATCAAGCAGCAAGGTAGAAGAAACATTCTAGGAAAAAAAAAAACCTTTTCTTTTTTTCAATAAATTTTTTTCAATACTTGTTAAAGAAAATGTAAATAGTACTATTCGATACATAACGATCCTTGATAAAAAAAATATCTCTTATTCTCCCGGGCAACGAACTTTTAGTATTTGTAAGTAAAGAAGAAGCCAGATCTACTCTTTGAGATTAATGAGAAATTGTCGTTTACAGGTCTCAGCGCGTCTTGCGAGACCGTGATGGACGCCGAAATGTTCGTGGAGATGCCGGCGATGACGTCGTTGGTGGATCCCGAGGTCGAGCACCAGGTGCAGCTGAACGAGACTTCCGACACGGCGGTGGTGCAGTATCTCGTGCCTGACGTCGGTCTCGCGGAACTGATTCTGTTTCTGAATTCGTCCTGCGGCGAGAACTGCAACATCGCCGTCCATGTCACGACGGAGGACAATCTCGTCGACGGCTTGCTCAATTCCACGGCGACGTCGTTGTCTTTCAAGCCCTATGCAGGCGGTTTCCATTACGTGACTCTTCGCCTACTATCGGGAAACGCGTCGAACGTGAGAATGCAGCTGTCGAGCCTCGTCGGAGTCGGTCAAGTAACATCCGTGGTGCTGTCGAGAAAATCCTTTCCCGAGTTTTTCCTCTTCGACTACGAACATCTGCGTGGCAACGACACGAAACCGCAGCCCTTCAACGTGACGTCCGACGCTCTTTCCGTCCTTAACTTCGAGATCGGTCGGGTGTATGATGTCGGCGGCACGGTCACCCTGGGCTTCAAGCTGGTCGACGTGGAGGAGAAGCACAAGAAGAACATCGTCCTTGTCGCCTGCGTTTCTTTAGGTTGGTTCACGTCCTAGAAACCACCTTCCAATCGATTAATTTTTCTTGCGATCAAAATAGATACGAGGTTGTAAATGTCTTCAATGAACAAAGCTTGAGGATAAAATTAGATCGACCGTTTGCATAGTATCAGTACTTTATAAGAAGTATTATCCTCTTTTTCGCAATTTGATGTATAACAGTGAAAAAAAGATGATTCTCATACTTTATATAAAATTTATGCGTACAAAGATGCGTATTAATCTCCAGTCTTCGCCGTGTCGTCATCTCATTTTTCTCGGTCCTTCAAAATTTTTCAGGGTACTATTCGAACATCACCTCGGGCGGTGGCTGCGTCCGTGCGCACGGCTTAACGACGGCGGACGTGTACGTGAACGCAACCGAGCCCGCCTTCGTGCATGTGCCTTTCCCGGAGGCAGGCACCTGGTACGTCAGCCTGCGCGTCTTCTGCCCCGAAAGAGAGGAAAAGACGACGAGCGACGACAGCGGCGTCAACGTTACCGGCAACAACTCCTGCTCCTGCGGCCGCACCTGCCTGCAGGGTGACGTCGCGTGCGAGAGGTGTGACTGTCTTTCGCGCTGCACCACCGTCCGGGTGGAGAGCATCGTCTCATCGTCGCCGTGCGTCGAGGGTCGTTGCGGCAGCCACGGCAAGTGCATGCACTACATGAGCGGTGGCTTCGTCTTCTCGGCGTGTCACTGCACCGGCGGCTATCGCGGCTTTGACTGCGCGGACAATACGTATGTCCTCAACACCAGCGGTATACTCCTGCAGCTGCTCGCTCTGACCTTCAGCAACTTCGCTTTCCTCGGCTCGGTCTACGTGGCGATACGACGCGAGTACTTCACCGAGGCGGTCGCCTATGCTGCGGTCATGTTCTTCTCCACGTTTTACCACGCCTGCGAGGCCGGCGAGGAGGTCTACAGCGTGTGCATCATGCGGCTGAGTGTGTTGCAGTTCTGTGATTTCTTCAACGCACTGCTCGCTATCTGGGTGACCCTGGTGGCGATGGCGTCGTTTGGGCCGCGCTTGACGGCTTTCTGCCAGGTGACCGGCGCGATCGTGCTCGCGATGGGCGCTGAGATGGACCGCACGGCGCTCTGGGTGTTCTTGCTGCCGGCCGTCACCGGGTCTGCCCTGATCGGGCTGTCTTGGGGACTCAGATGTAGAAGAAAGCGCACCATCAGATATCCTTCACGTCCATACAGGTAAGAGAAAAAAATTGTTAGGATGAAATAATTAATTTTTATTAGTGAAAAAATTTTTATTATTGAAATAGAATTTAGGAATGAAATTAATTTTTATTATTGAAAAAAATTTTATCATTGAAATCAAATTTAGGAATGTGTAATAAAATGATAGAAGATGAAGAAGAAATTAATTTTTATCGAAGATGTCTTTTGACTTATGGATTGTAAGTCCATAAATTAATTTTTATTATTAAAATAAAATTTAGGAATATGTAATAAAATGATAGATTGAAAAAAATTAAATTATAACAGAAGATATAAAAAAATTATAAATTACTAAATACTACTTATGATAAAAGTGATTGAGTAAAAAATAGAATATTTTATATAACGAGTTTTAAATTTTATTTTCTTGTGCGATATTTCTCCAACTCAAATTTTTTTTATTTTTATACTTTTGCTGTTTTATGGAAAACTGAACGTTGATACCGACGCGTCGAACGTATTTCTTTTTTTTTAAGGACCATCTTTTTCCCGGCCGGAGTTCTTCTCGTCTCTCTGGGTCTCGTTTGTTACGCGTTCCTGCAAACGCGCAGAAATTATTATCTTGTTCACAGTCTGTGGCATATCTGCGTGGCCATAGGAGTCATTCTACTTTTGCCGAAGCGAAAATACATGAAGTAATACTCCAATATTTATATGCGTGTCCAAGAGAGATTCGACGAGACCGGAAATATCATCGAAAACTGAGAGTTGTGATAATAGACAACCAAAGAGATACATCAGGGAAATTATTACGATAAAAAAAATAGATATCGATGAGGAATCGACAGTTTTTATATGAAAAAGATCATAAACTTTGCATTCTCGCGTAAAACCGCCTTGAAAATTATTATATCTTAATGATACTTTTTATTTCAACAGAGTTAGAAAATCAGAATAGAGTTAGAAGATTAAAATATAAATTATTTTTCTTTTTTTTATTGAAGAAGTCTTATCCTCGCCTGTATTGTGAGATGTGATCTGTTTCGTATTAAAGTTGTCCGATCGATCGAACGTAACAATTATGCGCATGTTATATGTAAATCAGAGATATTATTCTTCTAAAAAAGCATCAGAAGTATATAGATATGAGAACGTTCCGAGGACAAATTCAAAAAGAAATGACTAGATCTATCAATAACACACAATATAACAATATTTAGCAATAAGCTGCGACACATAAGTTCAGTATTAAGGTATCAAAGTAAGTCATTCGTGAAAGAAATATTTACGAATCTGCGCAATTCAACGTGATACTAAAAGGCAGATTCTTGCTCAGTTTAATAAGCATTAAAGCAACTGAAGAAAGTCTAACATCGATATTAGGATATTTTCTTCACTTAGCTTTCGGTAGAATTAAATCTCTATTGAATGTAAATACCGAAGTTTGAAAGCCGAAAAATATCGGAAGAGAATAATTATCCTAATTATTATCGAAATTGACGTTAGATTTTATAAAGAATTGTCTATTGTTCGATAAAATGTTTCCAAAATGACATTCCGAAAAAGTTCGTCGAGCGCACGAATATTTAGAACATATACGTATTGTTAATTTCGTCGCGTAACGATCCTGGTTTGCAAGGACCAATTCTAGGATACGTAAAATGACGGAAATGAGTGATGAAGGATCGAAGAATATCTTCGTGCGAGTGGTGCTTTTTTATTCACACGAATGTTCTCTATTATTTAGAATTCTCACTTATTAACGATACATTATTAATTAATACTATTAATTTATAATTATTATGTATCGACAGCATCGTTTTTTCGTGATAGATGCATTTTGCATGCTCGATAGATACATTCCTCATTGTTCCCTTCTTTTGTATAAAAGATTTCAAATTTTTATTTTTCTTCCCATTGAACATAAAAATAATTTAATCCTCATTTGATGCATTAGCGACGACAATGCGAGCGTAGAAATGTAATTTTAAGAAACAAGTCCTTTTTTTCCTAGGAATCGATACCTCGCACACGAATATCTTGCTCCGAGAATAATACGCGAAAGTGGATGAAAAAGTAAAGATACATGTCTCTTATATTTTATAACTAACAAGATGTATCTACATATAGAAATTATATTCTTCTACGAAGAGCACGTCTCTCTCAGAGGACATGTTTAAAAAAAAAGAAACAGACTTAGGATATTGTCTTAATTTTTGCGCACTAATTTGCGAGAGCTTTTTAACTTCTTTCTAGATAAGACAGTAATCCACGCGTCCAGGGTTTTTAACTACGCGATTTAACTTTTTGACTTTTAGATAGGAAGAAAATAGCTTGAAACGGAATCACCCTTTCAAGTTTGCCTTGCACCACGACAAGCCGAAAGGAAGAAGTAAATTGAAAAACCGTCGTGTCTTTACTTTCCGATTCATCCCCGCGCCAGTGTGTGCGTGCTGTATTGTTCGGGGAGAGTGTTGCGTATATACATATAGGTAAATAGATAAAATACATCGTCATGGGCAGTGCCTGTACTGATTGTTGAGACGTGTTAAGCGCGATGCGCCGCGACCGTATCGCGACTCTAGTCGATTCTATTTTTTCCTCAATGTGAAAGCCATATATAGACATATATAT